TTGGTAGAGCAGTGGGGCGGCTGCAGCTGTAAAGTTCCAAACAGCCGTTGTGTCCTTAGGCAAGACACTTCACCCCCATTGCCTGGAATGAGTCTGGTGAATGTGTGAATGGTTGGTGGTGGTCGGAGGGGCCGATGGCACATACTAGTTGCCTCGCTTCTGTCAGTGTGCCTCAGGGCAGCTGTGGCTACAGTTGTAGTTTATCACCACCGTGTTTGGAGTGAATGAATAATGACGTGTGAAGCGTCTTTGAGTGTCCAGAAAAGCGCTTTATAAAACCGATGCATTATTATTATTATTATATCTCAATTGCTCATGGCAAACCAGAACCCTGGCATATTTTCCCAAATCTCTTCTGTTGTTTGAAATTGTAAAATTTGAGGAATTCATGCATAACTCAGTGACTGTACTTCTTGCAGCACTATGGCTCGTGGGCATCAAAAACTCCAGTCTCAGCAAAAAAATGCCAAGAAGCAGGCTGAGATGAAGAAGGCAAAGGGACACGACCAGAAGACAGCCGCAAAAGCAGCTCTCGTTTTCAGCTGCAGTGTATGCAAGGTGAGGAAATAAACAAATCATCTGAACAAAATTAAGAATACTGCACACAATAAGATAAGATAAGAATTCCTTTATTCGTCCCACAGTGGGGAAATTTCGATGTTGCAGCGTACATATAGGACAGTAGTAAGAGCACACAGGGAGCACACACAAACATAGCTACAAGTAGTAGCTATGTTTCTTAGCTAACATAACTAGCTGTAGAACATGAACGTAAAACAACTATTTTTACCATAGAAAATAATGGATGTGTATGGACAGACCTTAGCTATCTCCATTTTCACATTACCTGCTGTCCTAAAATTCCACATGAGCTTTCCACCTTATCTTTTTGAATAACCGTTAAATTGTGATTTGGGACAGACTGATTTATCTTGTAATACACCAATTATTGGCTTAGGTGTAACCCAGAATTTTACAACATTCATATTTTATCATTGGAAATTACTGCATCCAATCAAACATAATCACAGCCAATATTTTCAAGCTCATAATCTGCTGAATTCACTCGTTATGATACAATCCATGCATCTATAATTGATGACTGCAAAAGGGCTGCCAAAGATTATGCTAACAATAGCCCAAAGTAGAAAGTCAGTCATCCAGGCAACTTCAGCCCTGCACATATACACATGCCATTTATTTATTTTGAGGCTTAGCACCTTCAGTAGTGAGAAAATAAGCAATTATCATTCAGGTAAATTCAGCTCCACACAACATAAATAGATATGTTCAGATATGTATGTATGAATTTGAAAGTAAATTATTTTCAACTGATTACTTTGCAGTCCCAGATGCCAGACCCCAAAACATTCAAGCAACATTTTGAAAGCAAGCACCCGAAGTCCCCTTTGCCCCCAGAACTGGAAGGAGTGGAGGCGTAGAACGGTGGTGGAGTCTTACCTCGGATACCAAATGGATTATTCAGAGCAGTGCGCCGAGTCTGTCCTTGCCCATGTCTGAAAGGGGTGATGTAATTGTAATAAGGCAGTTTCCTTGTTTCTGCCAACATGCCTTCGAACAAGTCCTGACTATTATAGTGTGCAAATAGCCTCCTTATTGTAGCTTAAATTCTAATATCTTGTTTAAATAGATGTGACTTGTCCGAGCAGAATGTTCCTGAGACGTCGCTTCTGGTTGCTTGATTGTTCTATGACATTTGTTGAAAAATAATCTATGTTCAATAGACAATGACAATGTGTGGGAATAATTTTCTTCAAACTATTATTGTCCTGAAATAATATGAGTGAGTCAGACACCATTGTATTTTATAATGTTTAATAAATCATACTTTTATTTTTTTCCCTTTCACAATTTTCTTGAAGGATTCAATTCAATGTATTCTTGTATAGCCCTAAATCACAACAGTAGTTATCTCAGAGTACTTAACAAAACCATTGAAATCGCCAACACAGATCACAGAATCAAACAGTTCAAAGAATAGACAACATATTGGTCCATAGGGGGAGTTGACCAATGTCCATATGAATGTTGATAAATGTCCATAGTTGTAGAATGTTGAGTGTCATCACCATGGTCCTTTTTGTTAGACCCTATAACAGTCCCAGACCCTCCTGCATCTGCAAGAAAAAACTGTAAAAACTAGTGGGGAAAAAAGTGAGAAACCTCATGGAGAACCACATTGAAAGATGGATCCACTCCCACGGACAGACGAACGGGCTATAGATCCAGACTCAAGCTACAGAACGAGAACCAAGGCCATGCGGCGCAGGACTCGGGTTGTAGAACAAGGACAGGTTTGAGCACTATGTAATGTTCTTTTAGTTATTTTAGTCTTTGAGTCACTGTCGCTATACACTTGTTCCTGTCACCTGCATCCTCTTCCTACACCCACCACCATGTTTCTATGAGATGAGTAATCATTTTGGGGTTTCATTCAACACTCTAACTTGGACTTCCTTCTTAATCTTACTTTTAACTTCCGCCAGGGGACATTGCGATCACGAGGGTTTGCCTGTCTGTACTACATTTTCTGTACAGGTTGGAATTAAGAGGAGGAACAGATCATTTGGACAATGGATTAAATGTAATGTATTGTGCTGATTCCATCATATTTTAGTTAAAGTTGTTTGCTGACACATTGATGAATACGTACTGTCCTAATTCATAAATGTTATCTAAAAACGACAGACAAAAAAGTGTTTCATTGAGGTAATCTGGATCATTGTCTGAATAGATCATGGATTTTTCATGATGATTTGGCATTTTGAGTGATTTCTCCCATATAGCAACACCAAATAAATTGTAATGAAGACTGCAGTGGAGGAGTTTAATAATGAATTAATTAAAATCTGCTAGTGTGATCAAATATACTAGTCTGTTGGTTTGCTGTATTATGTTGCTGCCTGTCTACCTCAGCACTGCATGTATTTGAAACATGATGTAGAGGGAGAAGTACATTTATAGAAGCAGCACAAATAAAACAAATAAAACATTCAGTCAAAATTGCATCAAACACTGAAATACTCAACTTTTCACCCCATGTTTCCCACCTTTATTTTGTAATAATAAACATCTAAATGCTGAGTTCATAAATACATGTTGGGTCTCTCAACAGGAATAATAGATAGATAGATAGATAACTTTATTTGCAGACTCAAGGTCCAGATCAACACAGACACAGACAATAAAATAAAAAATAAAATATTGTTTAAAATATTATTAATATTTTCTAAGTGACATTTTACCAACGAATCAGCCCACACTACTGTATTTATCTCAGACTTAAATACTCAACTAGTTTTTTAGAGCGAAGAACTAGTGGATTTTATGATTTCAAAGTTAGGTACCCCAGCTTTAAGTGGTTTCCAGGCAACGCCGCGGTGACGTCACTCCTCACAGCGCAACCCTGCAGCTTGTTCTTTGATTGGAGGGAAACCCCGTGGAAGAGCGGGAGCGACCATCAGCTGTACCATCAGGAAGAGACGATTTCTGCGTTTTAAGGACCTCACAGGTAAGAAAATGATCAAATACCATGACTGAGTGAATGTTACGTTGCATTTTGTCTGAGGCACTGTCCAAATTGGGGTGCCTATATTTTAATCCGCCGATAAAACCATGTACATGTTCTCGCCCGTGTGGCTGCTTGCTCAGTCATTGTTCGGTGCCTACATGAGAAAGTGGCCATCCTCCATGACTGCTCCCAATTTACCGAGTTGTTTTGTTTTATTTGCATTTGGCTTATTACCATTGACCCACTTGGCATTTAGATGTTTTCTGATCACCACAATTATGGCTCAAAACGTTTAGGGTTGTTTTCCAGGAAGCAAATGGGGCGTTTTCTGTCTGCGACTACAGACGACTTACGCTTTCCTCCAAATAAAATGAACATACTAATCAATGGTTTAGACTATCTTGTGATATTTGACGTATGCAGTATTAGTCCCGTGGGCACCAATTCTTGTCAATTGCCTTGTATTAGTTGGATATAGCTGTAGCAGGCAGGTGTGACGTGAAACTGGGTGGCCCACATTCCTCTGTAGGGCGCAGGTGTGTGCATGCTGGCAGATCTCACTTTCAGTCTGTCACACCTTATTCCCACTATCTAACTATTGCCTGCAACTTGAAGACAGTGGGTAAGATGTCACACATTATTTTAAATTACTGACTTATTCATTTGTGAGTGTCTAATGTACGAAAGGGCTGATTATAATGTAGTCAATTAAAATTAATATTTATTTACGGGAAAAAAACGTCTTAAAACAATTGCGTTTTGTCTAAATTGGCTTTCTGAGTTGACATTGTAATGTCTCCAGCATTGAGTTTACTAGTGGTGTACTGGTGGTTGAGTGTTGTCTGTTGCCCCCCGTTTGTTGGACATGTTTTCATATTTAATTTTACTCAAGCCTAGTTTTGGTGATCAGTTTCTTTAATGTTTTACCTTTCATTCATTCGCAGCAAGCAAGAATGAGCGAGAAGGAAGATTTAGTGAGTCGAGCCAAACTAGCCGAGCAGGCTGAACGCTATGAAGACATGGTAAAGTTCATGACAACAGTTACGCAGGAGGCCAAGGAGACTCTCAGTGTGGAGGATCGTAACCTGCTGTCTGTAGCCTACAAGAATGTTGTGGGGGCCAAGAGGTCTGCCTGGAGAGTGTTGTTCAACCTAGAGAAGAGGTCTGACGCTAAAGCTGCTGCGCTGGCAAAGTCCTACAGAGAGGAGATTGAAAAGGAGCTGAATGAAACATGTACAAATGTGGTGGTAAGGATGTCATTCTTATAAAATGTAAATGTCTTACAGTGATATTATAATTCCCACATGTTACTCACACATCTTGTTTTCTCTTACAGGAGTTGCTTGATAAATACTTGATTAAGGATTCTGAGGACGGCTCAAAAGAGGCCGCAGTTTTTTACCTGAAGATGAAAGGAGATTACTACCGTTATCAAGCTGAGGTGGCTTCTGGGGACGAGAGGCAAAGTATGTCTGGTTGTGGCACAGCTACTATTGTTTTGATAAACCACTGTGCGTTAGAATCTGATAGTGAAATGGTGAAAGGAAATATTGAAATCGATCGTACTTTGTATCTGATAGTCTTTGATATTTTCTATTCCCATTGCATAATTGTTTGGTCATAACCACAGAGCAGCTTTTTCACAGATTCACAAATTAATCTCGGAGGTTTATCACTGCACCACCCATTTGTCTCTCCACTCAAAGCGTCATTTAGTGACTCACAGATGTCTATTGACTGTTGTCACAAATTTTAGCAATTTTAAACATTTTGAGGTGGTACTAATTACAAACTTAGAAGAAAGCTAAGTGTTAATTTGTTTTATTTTTATTGTTTCCCCAGAGGTCATCAAAGACTCTGAAATGGCTTATAAAAAGGCCTTGGAGATCAGCGAGGACATGGGCACTACACATCCCATTCGACTAGGCCTTGCTCTTAACTTTTCTGTCTTCTATTATGAGATTGTTAATGACCAGAAGGAGGCCTGCAAATTGGCCAAAAAGGTAAGATTAATCTAGATTAGATCTAAAGATCTTGACCCCAGTCCGACAGGGCCTAGCGGATTCAGGTCGGGGTCTGGCTCTATTTTGATTGTATAACCTGGGCTCAGGCTGACGTGGTAAAATCAGTCATGTCAACATGCTTCACTAAAAAACACACCTATCACCTCAATCTCTAACAAACATATGTTTATTAACCTATTTCTGAGTGACCCCCGTTCACTCCAATCTTTTTGTGAAGAATAGTCTCAACATGCTTATTCAGTTGCGCTTCTTCCGATAAGTGCGTGTGGTGATCGGGATAATGTGGCATTTTCTCCATTTCTCATTCACGCTGCCTACATGGGCAATAACCTTTTAAATGTATATAGAGACATATCCCCCTTTTATGATTATGTAGATGTTGGATTATGTTATAAAAAGTCAGTTGGACTGGGAGATAGGCCACATCCGTTTGCTCTTCCCTTAAGATCCCTTTGTGTCAGCAGCGGCCGAGCCTGTCCTTAGCCATCTGTACACTCCGCTCAATCATCATTTCTCTGCATGTAATATCTGGGTCTGGTCCCCATGTTGGCGATTACAATCGACCGACCATTCATAGAGCACGGAAGGCGGGTGGTGTTGTTAGTTGTGGGTGACGTCAAGAGTTTGCGTCGAACAGGCAGGTTGTAGTTTGGCAAAAATGTGATAGTAAAGTAATCCGGTCTGGTTCTATCAAGAAATTGAAGCTGGAGCAAGAGGAATGTTTAGCAAATGTAATCGCTGGAAAAATAGTGGCGCTACTCTCGGGCTCCATTAGTGGCAAAGGAGATGGCTAGGCTAAATGCTAACGACAGACTCGGACGCACTACATAAGTCACGGTAAACTCGGATCCAATCGTTTCAATCTGCAAAAGGAGTTAACACCTCCCACCTATTAACTGAGTCAATGGAGCACCTAGTACGAAATGTAATTTGTACTATGGTGTGGTACGACCAGGCTAGCAGCGGCCAGGATCCAAGATCCTATTCGAAGCGGTCTTAGTGTGATGCTGTTGGTTCAGGTTGGGCTGAATTACACCGATATTCTAGATACTGACTTAAAGAGGATATTCATAAAATGTTTGCTTTCTTTAATGCATACAGTAAAATATACTTCAAATTATATTATTTTGCTCATCCTAATCTATTAAACTCTATTCCTTGGTCCTGTGCTAATTTGTTGCTTTTGTCAAAGGCTTTTGATGACGCCATTGCAGACCTGGACAAATCCACAGAGGAATCCTACAAGGACAGCACCTTAATCATGCAACTGCTCCGTGACAATCTGACAGTGAGTGGCAGTTATTCATGTTACATTTAGTTGAAGTTTTACAGTCATTTAGAAGGAGATGGTTTCAATGCATAAAAACAATCTTTTATTTTTCAGTTGTGGACTTCTGCTGATGAAGTTGAGGCTGAGGGTGAGGCTGAGGGTGAAGAGGCCCAGCAAGAACAATGATCTTTGCTTAAACCCCTTAACACATTTTACCTCTCACCAGCCTAAATTGCGTATGTGGGTTTTGTGTGCACATACATGCACACACATGTATGTCTACACTCCCAAGTATAAAGTACAGTATGTATGCGCTAAAACATTGTGTTTTAATTGTATGAGCACTACCACAGAAAAAAGAACTTGAGTCAACTTATTTTGACCATGAGTTGGTCCTAATTGAAAGCCTATTCCAGTCCTTCAAGTAGATTTTGTGTGGTGCACCAATCTGATGCACTGAAAGAACCAATTGCCATAACATGAGTTTGTATCGTTTTTGCCTGCTGAACGTGGAGCTTTTTCTGGCTGGTGCTTGCGTTATGTGGTTTGGTGGATTGTCTGTACGACCAGGTGCAATGAGTCCACAATAGACCACATGCCAAGTAGTTTATTTAGTTAACTGATGTTACATTCCACGTACGTTCCTTTTAATCCCCCACAATGAATTGTCATTCCTGTATTTTTCCATGCCATATGACCAGAGGCCTCAGAAAAAAGTCAACAACTTTTAAAATGGCTTAATACTGTACCTTTTTATATTTTATCAAGTATTCTCTTTACTGAGAAATCATGTCATGTGCCTCATTGTGGCTTTATTCTTTCTGTTCAGGTGGGTTTTTTGTTTGAGTTTTATTCTGGTTCCTATGTCTTTGCTCTCTGCAGTATGGTGATATGGGTTCGGCGGCTTGTGCTGAAACTGGTATTCAATCTAAAATGTCAACCATTTTATTTTGACTTATTACAACCTTTCCACATGTGATTGGATTATGATCAGTATGGCGTATAATTAAAATCATTACCTGTTCAATTTAACAGCATTGTATCGCTGTGGAGGGTTGCAGGATATACGGTTACAAATTGTTATGTGCATTGATGTAAGTGGAATTAAAACATTCAAATTAAAGCCTGTGATAATTGTTTTATTTCAACGTTTATATTCCTCCGTCATTTTGTCACATGTGGTAGAATGAAGACCTTTTGTTTTATAGTAAAAATGGCTGCCCTCTACTGATGGTGGAAAGTATTGAAGTATTGAGCGTGGTGACTCAAATTCCATTCTAGTCGATCCTTTGTTCACGTGATCAATGCCAGTAATTTCAATTTTGGGATTAGGGAAACATGCAGAGTACGCCTTTTGGTGACCGTTTAAATAACACTGCTCCGTTGATTGATCTGATACGCTTTTCATTTTTTAACATTTTTGGCGTGTTGATGCAAGTGGAGCCATGCTGTCTACTTTGAGACATTATTTTAAGATCTGCGTTTGAAGAATGGGAAATAAGAATGCGTGACGCGAGCATTTGTTTCACCATCACCCACATCCTTCAATCGTACACGCCTCCCCCACCCTTTCATTGGTTAGTTATTGAGTAAACCTCCACGCTATTGGCTCATTTCAGCGTCTCATCCGGAAGTATAAAGCACACTGTTTCCCTCTGTTCTCCCCTTAACCCCGGCTGATAGTGCTGTGAGTGCGTGGTGTGCTCCTGAGCCCGCTCGGCACACATTATTATAAAAATAAAAAATACAAAAAAAATATCAAAATATATAAAAAACGAAAAAATCTTTATTTTAACACTTGTAACGAGCTACGGAGCAGGACTTGAGTGAGCCATACGAAGGTAATGCTAAAAACTTGAGACGTGGAATCCAACGGTGTTTTAAACTACGCGTTACTGAATTTAGGACAATAATTAGTGTCGTTATTGTTCTTTAATCGTCGCGAGGACAGTTGTATTTCCGTTTTAAACCGTAGATTTCTTCCACACTGCACGCGCCATAGCAGCAGGCCAACGGCTCGTCACGTTCCGTCGCGAGCCGTGACCAGTAACTCCTACAATCGTCGCAAACTTTTAAAAAAAAAAAACAATTTGGATCAAACGCAGAAGTTTTTAAGTCGCAGACATGAATCCCAGCGCTCCCAGTTACCCCATGGCCTCGCTCTACGTCGGGGACCTGCATTCGGATGTGACCGAGGCTATGCTGTACGAGAAATTCAGCCCGGCCGGAGCCATCCTCTCTATCCGGGTTTGCAGAGATATGATCACCCGCCGCTCCCTTGGATATGCCTACGTCAACTTCCAACAGCCAGCAGACGGTAAGAGAATTGACGCATTATGTGGATTGAGTGGTTAAAGTACTGATGCATGTGGAGGCTGCCGCTTGTATTACACGTGACTGCAGCGGCCGACATGTTGTCCAAACACCGCTCCCTCACTGGAGCCTCCCTTCAGCAGTGGCGCAACTTTGCTCAAAGTTTAACCCCAAATGCCCTGCCCTCCCAATGTTGCAGTTTGTGAAATGCTTAACTAATCCACGGAGTTTTTATTTTATTTCATCACACTTGAGATAATATTGGGGAATATAAAGTTAAACATAAAATATTTAATTTTTTAACGATTGTTTCAAAAACTAACTGCTAATTCTAAATTGTTTGTTTTTAAAAAGCCTCTTCACTAGTTTCTGTTCAAACCTGATAACCATTTCTGGGTGTGTGAGTTTCGTTTTGGAGATAGAGCAAATGTGCTTGCATGTCTGTCGTAATATATATAAAAAATTAAGCTATGGGGCAATTGAATCTTCATGGTTTAATGAAACCAAACTTGGTAATTATTACACCACTTGGTCTATTATAGGCCCATAATAATAATAATGATAGTAATGAAATTAAAATGGCTTCTCGCATCTAGTTATACTGAAGGATAAATGATAAGGTGAGAAATGACATAGTAGTCTCTCACAATCACTAATTGTTACATTTTCTCCTACAGCTGAGCGTGCGCTGGACACCATGAACTTTGATGTGATCAAGGGCCGCCCTGTGCGCATTATGTGGTCCCAGCGCGACCCGTCATTGAGGAAAAGTGGTGTTGGAAACATCTTCATCAAGAACCTTGATAAGTCAATTGACAACAAGGCACTGTATGACACCTTCTCTGCTTTCGGCAACATCTTGTCGTGCAAGGTACTTTCTCTTAGTTTAGCATTCATGCAGAGCTTCATTATCAGCTGGCATCAATTTTCATTATGTTTTGTTGTGATTATTGTTAACACTGAATACTAATGATGCATGACCTGTTTTTAGGTGGTTTGTGATGAAAACGGTTCTAAAGGTTATGGCTTTGTGCATTTTGAGACTCACGAGGCGGCAGAGCGTGCCATAGAGAAAATGAATGGCATGTTGCTTAATGATCGTAAAGTGTAAGTGTGCGTTGGATTGTGCACTGGTGAACTTTATTGTGTACCATTTACTGAAGAGCTTTGCTTTATTTTTTTTAAAGATTCGTGGGCCGCTTTAAATCTCGCAAAGAGCGTGAGGCTGAAATGGGAGCACGGGCCAGAGAGTTTACAAACGTCTACGTTAAAAACTTTGGGGACGATATAGATGATGAGAAGCTAAGGGAACTTTTCAGCCAGTTTGGTAAGAAAATGGATAAGATGTAATTTTTTCTTGTTGCTTATTATTGATGTTTAATATTTCATGTTTGGACACAGGAAATGCCCTCAGTATTCGTGTGATGACTGATGCGACCGGGAAATCTCGTGGATTTGGATTTGTCAGCTTTGAGAGGCATGAAGATGCACAGAAGGTTTGTGTCGTTTCAAAGGCCCCACTTGGCCCCCTCTTTTCTACTCTTTATTCCTCCAGTTTGCGTTACACTTAATGGCTCAAAGGTTGCATTCTAATTTGTGAAAAAAATACCCGCTCTTATTCCTCTTATTCCTCCCTTTTTTTTTTTTATTTGGATGCAATCCCAGCCAGGGTGGAGTAGGTCTGGTAGTTATGGGTCATCATATATAGGGGCTTTAAGTCTAATGTGTTTTTTTTCCAAAGGCTGTAGATGAGATGAACGGAAAAGAGTTCCAAGGCCGACCTATCTATGTGGGCCGTGCTCAGAAGAAGATGGAGCGACAAACCGAACTCAGGCGTCGATTTGAACAAATGAAACAAGACAGAATGACAAGATACCAGGTGAGCTGACAATTCCCTTTGAACTTGGAGCCATCTAAAAACTGCAGCTTTGTCAAATTCGGTGCACTCTTTACTAGAATGCACTGGCCAAAATGGCTGCAACAGTAACTGTAGGTCATGGGCCTCAACTTCCCTTCAGTGGATGTTGGGGATAAATGTGTCCTTTCAGACAGATCATTAATTTTATCTGTAATGTTTGTGGCTAACTCTTTTGTAATGGCTCTTTGCGGGTCAGATTTATCAGTAAATGGTGATTTGTTTGTTACAGGGTGTAAACTTGTACGTGAAGAATCTTGATGATGGCATTGATGATGAGCGGCTGAGAAAAGAGTTTTCTCCTTTTGGCACAATCACCAGTGCAAAGGTATCATTCATCTGAGCTTCTCCTTCTGTCAATTTGTTTTATGCAAAGTACTGAACACATGTTTTATCAGGTCATGTTGGAAGGTGGTCGCAGCAAAGGCTTTGGCTTTGTGTGCTTCTCTTCACCTGAGGAAGCCACTAAAGCAGTTACTGAAATGAACGGGCGCATCGTAGCCACAAAGCCTCTGTATGTGGCGCTGGCTCAGAGGAAAGAAGAACGCCAGGCACATCTTACCAACCAGTACATGCAGCGTATGGCCAGTGTGCGCGCTGTTCCAAACCCAGTCATCAACCCCTATCAGCCTGCCCCACCATCGGGCTACTTCATGGCAGCCATACCCCAGGCACAGAATCGTGCAGCGTACTACCCCGCTGCAGGGCAGATGGCACAGCTACGCCCAAGCCCACGCTGGGCCACCCAGAACGTCAGACCACAGCGTTAGTGTCAGACACTCCGCCGTTAGTGGAAGAAACTAATCTGTCATGTCTAACACAACACAATTTTATTTTTTATTCCATAGATTTCCAGAGTATGCCCACCGCAGTGCGGGCATCACCACCTCGCCCTCAGTCCTTTGGTGCCATGCGTCCCACAGCCCAAATGCCTCGTATGATTTCCGCCCAAAGACTAGGTCAGTGACATGAGTCACTCTGCATCAGTCCTGCTCGCTCTTTTTCTGACAAGCTTTGTTTTTTCTCCTATGCAGCCACTCAGCCCATGGCTCCTCGTCCAGTTGCAGCAGCTCCCACGGCTGCTCCTGTGCGCGGCGTCCCTCAGTACAAGTACTCTGCTGCGGTCCGTAACCCTCAGCAGCACATGGCGCCTGCCCCGGTTGGCTTGCCCCAGGCCGCAGTCCATGTGCAGGGCCAGGAGCCACTGACAGCCTCCATGTTGGCTGCTGCCCCGCCCCAAGAGCAGAAACAGATGCTGGGTAAACCACTGTTAATGATCACTATATTATAAATGACTGGTGATGTACGGTAATGGCTTTTTCTACACAGGGCACAAGTGGGTAGATCAATAATATAATTCATATTTTCACTGAACTGTACAGTAAAATATCTTTCGGTCAAAGAATAGTGTGTGTGAGAAAATATACAAATGAAATTATTGAAGAATGTTTGTTTATATCGTCGATGTCTGTGTGGCGTCTTCGGTTTTGACTGAATTGTGTCTTTTGCAGGAGAGCGCCTGTTCCCATTGATCCAGAACATGCACCCGAGTCTGGCGGGAAAGATCACAGGAATGTTGCTGGAGATCGACAACTCTGAACTCCTGCACATGCTCGAGTCACCAGAGTCTCTGCGCTCAAAGGTCTGCAACACTTTCATAAAGTCCCATCTACTAGTGTTGCTTTTAATACAGTTAAATATGAATGTTGTGTGTCTGCGCAGGTGGATGAGGCCGTCGCAGTGCTCCAGGCGCATCAGGCCAAAGAAGCCGTTCAGAAGACTGTGACCAACACGGCCGTGGCTGCAAGTGTCTAGGCCCAAGGTGAGAACTGAGCCCTTTCACTACTTGGTCCATGACATTTAAGTTCATTAATCAAACTATGACATTTCAGGAGTGAAGAACATGAGACCAACACGAAGAAGATAAAAACTCAACTGTACAAACATAGTAAAATATGTAAAATGATGATGTAAAAATGGAAACAAGAAACCGACCAGGTCCTGAATGCAGAAAGGGCCCGGTCTGCATTAAAGTTACAAAAAACGTACAAAAAAATTGAAAATGTTCCAAATAGGTTTAAATATTCAAGTGTTTTAGAGGATACCTCTGTCATAATACAGAAAGTATTTAACACATTCCTTTATTTTATCCATTTTAAATGTTTTGGCTGTGGGATAATGGCAGCCAGTTACTCTTACTGTGAATTTACATTTTGCCTGCATCATTAAAACAAAAATAAAGACATTTGTCATATTAAATACTATTTTTTGTTTTTGTTTTTATTTTTTTGTGGGGAGGGATTGAGTAAAGTCTTATCCCTTAACATATTGTCTTAACAATTAAACTCATCTTGCTCCATTTTGACGAAAACCCTAGACTATATGATTAGATAGATGTTATTATTCATTACTTCAATTTTGAAAGGACAAATGTGAATCTTGAGACATTTTAGATAACCAGATCTAGTTATAAAGACTTATCCAAAAGTATCAGATATTGAAAGTCGAAGAAATGGTTATAGTTTAAGAATAATCTTTCACCAAGAGAGTCATATTTCGACTTAAAAAATGAGTTTGTAATAGAACTGGATCATTGTTCTTGCCCGACTGTCATCCTCACAATTATGGAGAGAAATGATGTAGCTGAAGGTGGACCCAGGATACTATTGAGGACAAATGTCATGAATCGATGTAATGTTTGTGGAGAAGGAAGATTGACTGTGAATCTACAATGTAGATTCAATAGCTCATCTACTGCAGTTAGATGAGCTCTTTGTATTGTGGGTATTGAAGTAATTAGTTTAAATGTTCAAAGTAAAGGGATCATTGGTAAACTTTGATTTATAGATCATGTTGAAAGCATGTTGGTGTCCACATTCAGTTTATTGAGCAATAGTTTTGGTCGTATCAAGCAGCTTCTTCATCACAGCCTCCATCTGCTTCTGGAGGTTCACCATGGTGGCGCTAAGCTCCTGTTTTGCGGGGTCCAGGCTGGCGATGGCGGCCTCAACTTGAGGGGCAATGTTCTCCAGCTGGGTCCGGGTTTTTTCCAATAGATCCCTAATGGAGTAAAAGTTAATATTAAATGTGGCATAAGACAATATTGTTCATAGTGTATGTAGTGTTAAGGTAATTTGTCATGTTTCATTATCTAGACTTTTGCTAGTTTTATCCAATTGTCCTTTACGTGTCGCATCTAATATTTATCGGACCACACAACAATCTGATTTTCAAACGGTTAACTTTACATAGTTTCAATCTCATCTCGACTCAGTTTCATATGAGCGTCTCATTTTTGTGAGAAGCTTTTAGGTTTTAGGTTTAGGAGTTGAACTAAACAGCTCTTGAAAAAAAGATTTAATTGAGCTGTCTCAAACCCGGTCTTCCAAGTCTCAGTTTATCCACCAGTTTGTCAATACAAAATTATCTTATTTGTAGAATACAAATGTTTTGAATATAAAGTTTTCTTTTTAATAACTTGGATCAGACCTCTCTTCATGAGGCCTTTCTGAGTGAAGTTTGCAGGTTTTCTTTCTGCATGGGTTTCACTGCAGGGTGCATCCCCTTGTTTAACTAGCATCCTTTTTTCTAGGATTTTTTGCTAGTCTTCTGAAAGTCATTCCTCTTTTTTTCCCCCCCTTAATATATTTTGGGTCGAGGCGTGGGGTGCAGTCAGAGCTGCACCCAATCCACAAAGCACCAGCCCCTCACTGATCCTCCTCCTGCTCTGTCAGTGACGACGCAGTCTTGATATTTCAGCAGGGGCTTCTGAAAGTATCGTCAGATAATCTTGAGGCTGTAAATCTACAGCTAATCTATCAGGTAAAACCAAAAACACCAAGGTGTTTATCTAAAAACAAGATTCTTCTTACTTGGGAGATGTAGGTCCTGCTTTGCTCTGTTTTCACTTAAAATGTGTGTTTACTCACTGTGCTGTGTTGGTCAGATCGCCCTGCTGAAAATTCTTGATCTGCTCCAACAGTGAATTTTTTCCGTCATTCAAGATCTTGGTCAGATCTGCAGCAGCATCCTGGGCCAGGCTCCCTGTGGGTTTGTGTTTTAGTCCAATTTAACCACTCTTACTCACACATAAAGTCATTGTTATGTTCAAAATGGTGTAAAATACCTTGAGCCATAGCGAACACGCAGAGGGCAGCTATGATGGTGAACTTCATGGTGACTGAGTGGATCCTGGAACAGAACACAAAAACAATTGATTTGTTATGAATCAAAGGTAACAGTTTATATTAAGTATTTCTACTTTTCCATATAGGTTGATTATTCAAAAGATTTAAATATAAATTCATAACTGGCAAACTTCAGGTTTGTTTGTCTGGTGACTGGTCAATAGTTTTCCAAATGCCATCAAACACATTTCTCTTACACTATAGAAAGGTCTTTGTACTCACTGTGCAGCAGGCGACGCAGACCAGATGGTGTCCTTTTGATGCCCGTTCAGGTCTTTTATACCTCTATCACCATTTCTTGAGAGACCTGATTGGATGAGATAAGCGGTGCTTGTTGGAAGTAGGCGTCACACGGTTGACTCTTGCTGCTCTGAGCGCCACAGAAACAGCCTTTGGCAAAGTCCAAGTGTGTCATCAGTGCGGAGGACGTCTCTTATCAATATGATTAAAAACAAATTAACAGCTCTGAGCAGGACTGATGAGGTCACATCAGGGATTACAACACCACAGATTAGATACATGGTATAATGACTTAATGTCCTGTTGCCATGTCAAAAAACTGCTTCTGGCATCAGGGTTAGTAAAAGCATTGTCCACAGAATCTGATGAAGGTTAAGTAAATCATCTTTAATAATATAGGAAGTCTGTTGTGTGTACTCAGTGCCTCTGTACATAATAGTAAATTAAAGAAATGTTATGTAGATTTTTTAGTTTTTTTTATGTATTCCTTATTCTATTTTTACTTTAACAATTAGTTCACATTGAGAACCAACGCAATTTATTATGTTTTGTGACTTCCTGTTACTCACAATGGCAAACATAAGATTTCTGATTATCTATTGTTGACGATATGTGATTTTAACAGTAACCAAAAACACAAAAAATGAATAGGAAATCTTGAAGGGTTGAGAGTGAATGATATACGGGAAATATTTGGCCAGAACATAATACTGAAAAAAGTGTCGGTACTCGATTAAAAATAAAAAAATATTTTGGCCTGCGTTTTGATTATGTTCCCTAGCTTGACCAGCCCCGGTGTCATTTAAACTCTTTTGGACCCAAATTCAGAGTATTCTTCTACTTTTGATCATCTGTGGTGGGTTCTGAGGGTAGCACAAAACCAGTGAAAGTCTTAAAATTAGAATATTGTTCATTTATTTCTGTAAGTCATCTTAAAATGTCAAGCCTTTGTTACCGTTTTGATGATGGTTAAGGCCTATAATCTATTTTATGATATATTTTATAATAATCTAATTTTCTGAAATGTTTTATTTTGGGTTTTTTCAAGCTGTGAACCACTTATCAACATTATAACAAGTACAGGCTTCATAAATCTCACTGTATTTTTCAAGTTTCACCTGTATTTGAAAAGTTTTACGGTTTGTTTTGCTGCTGTTTGATGTTTGAATATTCTTGGTATTAAATCTATAACATTTCAGTCACAGATAAACAATGAAATATAAGTTAATCTACTGAACAGTTTGTGCAGTTATGGAGGTAAAACATCCCGTACTGTTCACATGTCCTCACATACTTCCCTCATGATGAACCTACATAGATTAAAGTGCATTTGGCAGATTAGATTAGACCACTCATTTTAACCATTCTTTTCACGTTATCTGTGGGACTTTATGGATGCTGTAAGTCCGTAATAATCCTCATTTTAACAATATACAGAGAAAGTTGATTCAATTCCAGCAAAACTCCTGTGTAAATAACCAGTTGAGTACGATTACTTGACAAGGCTCAGTATCAAAGGTTGGGAAACTCTTCACACTGCGGTTTCAAGGTCCAACAATAAGATTTTGATCAGAACCAGATGTAGAATGTGAGCCTCGCTCTCAGCTGCAGTTTTTATAGTTGTACTGTTCAATACTGTTCATAAATGTGCTTTAAACACCATGTGACGATGCCTTTGTGAAAGAATGTCAGGAATTTTAGTCAATAACCGTGATGCAACTGTGAAAAATACAGTCCTCCCACATGGTTTGGCTCAAGTCGTGAAACTCCAAAAGTTTAATGTTGGGTCAGCGTACACACAATATAGGATAGATACTTTGTTCATCCCCGAAGGAGAAATTCAGGTGTCCAGTAGCAGCAGAAACACATCCATCCACACAAACAAAACAACAAATTCATAGTAATCTAATGCAGAAGCACTTTAGATTACAGCAGCAGAGGATTGTGAATGCACAAATATTTATATCCACTTTTCTATTCCTTAGTTATACTTGCTGTTTGTCTTGAGAGATTGAGAAAAAAGTAAAATGTGGTGAACGAATCAGACCACATGATGTCTTTAGATGCTATCTTTTGCATACTACTCAGAAAGAGCCCCGTGAGTCATGCATGTGAAAACTGTTCTTAAGCAAAGAGATGGAAGTTATGACTTAGTATAGTGTGGCTATTTATGATTTTAAGATTAAGAAATCCTTTTTATGTCCCACATTGGGTAAATGTCAGTGTTGCGCTCAAGAAAATAAAAATCTCTAACTAGCATAAAAGAAGCAGTATAAAATTGTTATCGTTGGCATGAAAAAGAAGTATAAAATCTCTCTTTGTGTGTGATTTTTAATGTTTTAAGATAATTACTTGTGTGATTTTATTCTGTTTTTAATATGTCTTGTGAGCCCAAGTTTTGTCTTTACTCCAGTTTTTTTATTTATGTATATGTAGACTTTAATGTTTATTTGTGCTTCATGTGATATGGGTTGTGAGCATAGACTGTAAGTTGAGAAGCGCTTTGTGTTGCCTTACGTAGCTAAATCAAAGGCGCTCCAGCTCCCATTTATTCGGAAAAAACAAAACAAACAAAAAGTATCCTTGACTGTGACCCGACTGGAGCAGATGAATCGTAGTAGTGGCAGAAGTTGCAGTAATAACATTAGTGAAAACACGAGATGCTTCCGATACAGTTGACTGCTTTCATCAAAGAAACTAGAGCAGTTTGTAAAATAAGGTCCAAAGTCTAATTTAACAAAACATTTTCAGATTTAGGTCAATATATCTCTTTAATCTACAGTAGACTCTATTTTAAAGTGTTACATTGGCCTTTTACTTGATTCCTTCTGTTTATCAAATTGTATGTGTGCCATAAAAGAATTACAATAAATACTGGCTCCGACTCAGAATTAGACCTTAATTGTGTTTTAAAATAAGCGAGAGTATGTAATATGCAACATAGCTCAGTTGGTAGAGAATTGAAGGTTGTAGGTTCGATCCCACCACGAGACAAGCTCCCACTGCTGTCGTTATGTCTCTGGGCAAGACACTTAACCCCACTTTATCCATCCGCCCTCTCACTTCTCTCCCTCTGTTTAAAAAGGCCCTTGTACAATACCTCCAGAACCCATGGTAGTGTTTTTCAGCATAGGTTATGGTCCTAAATGTGCTCAATGATATGCACTACTATTAATACCATAACTTTAATCAACGTAAATTATAGTAGACATTATATTCATAGTCGGTGTGTGTGTGTATGAATTCTGTTATATTGTTCACTCTTCTGTTTGTCATTTTGTGCAATTTTGAGGGCCCCCTTGAAAATGAGAAAACCAGCCTACATTCCACACAGATAAAAACATTTAAAAAAATGTGTAAGCCTCCATTTCCTCTTGTGTTTCTGGCCAATCTGGCTCCAATAACTCTTTAGTTTGACTTGTCCAGTCCACGTCACTTGGCTCTGTGTAAAACTGAACATGCCCAGACTGGAGTGGGGCAGAACAGAGGAGGCTCAGGTTTCTTTGGTCTGATTTTTATCTGACTTTCCCCTGATGCGTTCAAGCGCTCAGCAAAAAGTGAGGAATGAGTACAATAATCACATAGTAAGTTAAAGTTTGCAACAACAAAAGAAAAATGTCAAACTCAAACTATAGATTCTGAAAATTCAGGCGACCAAATCTTTGTTTAGCAGACATTTTCTATTACGAACAGCGAAGCAACAGGAAGAGAAATTATCTAAAAAATAAAGCGTTAAAAGGGAGGTGCTACTGATTTATATGTAAGATTTTCATGCCAAATCATCAAAATAAGTCAAGAGGCATTAATAAACTATGCTCTTTTCGAATACTTCTTTAACTACTCTTCAGCCGATACAGTCCATCCATCCATTTTCTGCCCTTTAATCCATTTCTGGGTCAGGGGGGTGGCAGTCAGAGATGCCACCCAAGTCTCATAGCACCAGCCCCTCACTGACCCTCTGCAGGTGGTGAGTCCACAGGAGGACGGCTGCTCTCTGAGTGTGAGCATAGCCTTGATCTTTCAGTGGGGGCTTTTTGGGCAAAGTGGGGTTAAGTGTCTTGCCCAAGGACACAACGACAGCAGTCATCAGTGGGAGTCGATGGAGAAGGTGCAGAGGTGGGAATTGAACCCACGACCTTCTGGCCTTAAGGCCAATGCTCTACCAACTGAGCTACTGTCGCCATTCAGCCGATACAGTCGAATTTCCAAATTGGATTAACGGCCAAAAAATCTTGTTATTTTTTTCATTTTGATGCCCCTCCACTGTTACCAATCAGAAAGTCTGCGATCTGGGTTGCCAGAACTCCCCGCATAAAGCTAATCTCACTGCCAAAGTAACATGTGGCCTCAGAACTAAAAATTGTGATTCATTAAAGACAAAATAAGGAACAAAAACGAGGATTTCAATTGGGGCCTTTGTGAGAAAGGTGTTGGTTATAGATTTGTTGTTGACAAAACTCTTGTCTATTCAGCTATTATGGTCCCAGCTGGATTCTCATGCTTATCTGGCAACCTGAGTCAGGGAGAGTGGGAGAGGACTACAGAATATTGGCCGTGATTGCAGTTCCACTTTTGGCCAGATTTATACAGATTGCTTTTTTAATATTTGGATCCCCTTTGATAAGTTTAGACCTTTTGACCGGATGGTGTCATTGGCTTATTCACAATCATCCTCCTGCCAAGTAGTAGAAGCATTCGTAGAACCCTGGAACTGAATGTGATTGATCCTCCCAAAGCAAGAAGAGTCTTAAGATAACATGAGGCGTTTTCAAGCATCAATGCCCTTTTTGAAATGTAATTACAAAAATCAGTAAACAGCAAGAATCACCATAGAGACCAGGCTGCAAGAAATGGATTGAGAGAATATTAATTCAGAAGCTCCTCCAGGACCATCTGGTCAACAACAGAGTTTATCATTGATTGTACATTTGTTGGGGATTGTCCGGTGTCTCTTTGAGTTCAGAGATTTACACAGATTCACTTATACTATTGAGGTTTGTGAGCGATATGAACAATCTCTCTCCTCCTTTCACTGGTTTGACACAGTTTGACACAGTGCACAACATTTGATTTAATTTCAATTGAAGTAACAAGGAGAAGAAAGTTGGTTTTGGAATTAAGGACTAAAGGTGTAAAAAGAGAACACAAAAATAAGTAGTAAAGTGAAGTATTTCTTGTGTCTGTAATTACATATAATAAACATTTAAAGCTGAGGTGCCTGACTTTTTTCAAATAATAAAGGTCTTGTCTTGCAGAAGTCACTTTTGTGAATCAATCAGCCCATGCTTTCTTCATCTTGTTAACATCTTATCTTGAACATACAGGAAAGAAAGTGAAGAAAGTGATCCCATGAGTCGCTCTTTGAGTAGAGAGCTGATTGGCTGAGAGAGGGTTTCCATATTTATTCATTTCTATTCGAGAAAGCTGATCCTTTTTGATCGGCCAAAAATGTTTGTGGTTTGAAAGTACCCCAACTTTAAGTAAAACACATTTTGTAACGTGCCACTTCTGCTAAATATAGAATGTAAAATGCTCAAGATGAATTCATACAAAAATATATTTCTAGTAACGTGAACGTTTTCATTTTAATTATTTATTTAAATAAACGTCTTTATTAAACAATACAAACAAAACCGGCACCTGACATAATATTTACACAAAATACAAAGTCATTGACAAATTCAAAGACAAAATACATAAAAACATAAAAAGGGGGCCTGATCTCAGACCTCATCAGTCAGCTGTACTTGTAATGGGTACTTCATATTGATAAGAATGACCAATTTATGAAATACTTTGAACTATTTCCTCCAATGTTTTGTTGTTTTGCAAACAGTATCAGATTAATTACACCAAAGTCAATTAGTCCATCCTCAATAAACACACCATACATGACATCCTACATTGACAACTGTTGTAAGAACGTTTTATTTTCGTCAGCGTGGCCCAGGAGCGGATGTGGTTCTGAAAGTTCCGAGTGTCCGTGAAGGCGCTTGACAGACACATCCTCTGTCTCTGGACAAGCGCAGTCCCGTTATGCCTCAGACCGTATGAAGAGCGGAAAGCCCCCGTGACAGAACCGCGAGACCACCGCCTCCAACACACCTCACCTCCGGGGCTGTCTGCACCTCACACACCGGGCCTTCACCACACACTCACTCGCGGGAGACAATGGAGTCCAACACGCTGCGCAGACAGAGGCTACAGCCGGGGATCGGGTTCGGTTGCGGGGGGGTAAACACCGGGACCCTGCGATCCTCCTTGCGGCCCGGGGTCACCGTCGCTCCGCTGCTGCCCTCCCCCGCTTCTCTGTCGCTCAGCTCCGGGCCTCCACCTCCGCCGCCCCCTCTGCAGCTGCACAGTCTGTACGGAGGCCTGGGCTTCGGCGCGGGGCTCGGAGGGTCTCTCGGGGGCGCAGGACACTCCAACCCCGCGGTGCTGAAGGAGGCTGTGGAGGCCGTGGTTCGGAGCTTCGCCAAACACACGCAGGGATATGGCAGAGGTAAACAAGCAGCCTGTGGAAGAGTCTGGTGTGATATTGTTATTGTGAAGGAATTTATTTCACCACTGTTATTTAAGAGAGGTTTAGTGTAATATTGTTATTGCAGGGGAATCTATTTTACTTTTGTATTTGCAGAGGAGTGTAATATTGTTATTGTGGAGTAGTTTATACGTTTTAACAGCGCATCACTTCAAAGGTCATTTGGGGAATCAAATACCAGAGCAATGACTAAAGCTATTATCACACCTCAGACATTTATGCATTTATGATACAACAACAAATCACTGAGCTGTTCTCACATTCATAATGAAAACATACTATAAATAAGCCTGTTATAAAACATGGAAAAGTGGGTTTCAGTAAAAGTATAGAGCATATTCAAAACACCAAAAATAAAACATGGGCTTGAGGTTAAACATTGTTTGCTGTAAAGGTGAAGGAAACTCCCATAATGAAAAAAGTTTTGTTATGTTCTTGGTACGACTGAGAGTAAGTAATAGTAATAGTTTGAACTCAGACCTACAATGTTACAAAGTTGGGAGCGGTTTTTCTTTCATTTAGACCAAAAGCAAAAAAGGAATAAAATTGGGATCAAGTCTGTAGTACAATAATTGCCTTACTGTTTATACAAATATAATAATGCGCAATGAATGTCTAAGATTCATTTACTTACATTTTCTGCGCAAAACAGTCCAACTTTTTTTTAACAGTAAACGGTTAAAGTTGAGAATTTTTCGATTCAACAGTGCATTTGAGGCTAAAGAGATTGTCTGCATGCTACAATCAGCTCATTCCCCAATCAACCTAATTAATGCCTAACACTGACATTGATTTTAAGTCTCTACTAAGCCACACCATATGTTTTGTCTGTTTCCTTTGTTGCTGAGGCGTAATTAGCGAAATAAACAACATAATTATGACATTTCCAGACGCACAAAAATGTGGGATTTTCAGCATGTGAGCAGTTCAAAAACAGGGACTGCAGATCGAAACTAGCTGTTTAGCTATAATCTGGTGCAGAACATATCTGTCTTTGAGCTTAATGTCTCTGTACACTGTCCCTTCAAATAAAGACTAAACTAACTAAATTCGCTTTAGGTTTTGATAAGAACAAAGCTATGCACAGTGATGGACCAAGTGTTATGCTAATGGATTTCCATATTTAACAGACAGGAAGTGGAACGGAAAAGTTGACAAAGGCCTGTGTATCTTATCACAACGACTGGGAAGAAATATCGCCTCAAGAGCGTAGTCCAAACATCTCAAACTACATCATTTATCACAAAATATAAATAAACAAGGTAGATTTTTGAGTTGAAGGACTGCATATGTTTAGTTAGCTGTGGTTAAGGACTTTGTGAGAAAATCCTTTTTGGAGTAAATTGCAAAAAGGACTTTACCCCTGAATATAAATGAGGTTCTGCTGGCTCTGTTTACCATTTCTTCCCATACTTTTTTCCACTCTAGCCTTTTGTTGATAGGAACACACACTAATAACACCACATGGTCATGTTTTGTGTTTTTTTTCTTCTACTTTTTCAGCTCCAACTTGTCAACAAAGATCCTGACTGTTGTGGCTTCATAGCTGCAATTGGCTGATGACTGTCCAGGCTTTGTGCACCAGCCAGGATCTTAAATCAAACAATTTTTAGCTCGGTGGGAAGGAGTCAAACAGTCTCCCAGTCCTCGCCAAGCCCTGAATCCAAATAATCATTTATGAGTCACTTGCAAATGTTACTGCTTCTCTTTGTTGTGTCTTTACTGCTGGTTTGTAGGAATTTAGCTTCGTGTACAGTCGAGGTGGGGGAGAGAGCTGGTTAAACGGCTCCTTAGAGATGATGCAGAATTTCCTCCAAGCACGAACTTCTTCAGTTGTACTCGACAGGAAAATCCCCTGGCATCCTCTGCGAGACCCTGCTCCAACACTTTCCATGTGTTTGGAGGAAGAATCGCTGAGTCTAACTGTTTAATGTTTGATATATGGAGACATAAAAACGCTCTTTTGTGTTGCAGTGAACGTGGTGGAGGCGCTGCAGGAGTTTTGGCAGATGAAGCTGAGTCGAGGGGCAGACTTGAGGAACGGGGCTCTGGTGGTCTATGAGATGGTCCCCTCCAACTGCCCCCCCTACGTCTGCTACGTCAGCCTCCCCGGGGGCAGCTGCTTCGGGAGCTTCCAGGTGATTTGATCTTCTATTGTCACAAGAAAACATATGAGCACATTTACACATATTTGTTTAATGTACTCCTATAACTAGGCAAAGCAAGGCAAGGCCAACTCAAAGTGCTGAGCAAAAAAAGATAGACACAATCACACAACAGTACATTCAAAAGAAAGATAACAATATATAACCACTCAGTTGTAGCACAGCTAAACACAACTGTTTTTAACCTGGATTTATACATTGTCAGAGAAGAGACCTGTCTCACATTGTCAGGAGGATTGTTCCATATTTTAGCTGCATGATTCTGAAATGCAACCTCCCCATGGATAGTTCTGACTCTGGCACCAGCAGGAGGCCAGTCCCTGTGCTCCTCAGAGTCCCAGCAGGAGGCCAGTCCCTGTGCTCCTCAGAGTCCCAGCAGGAGGCCAGTCCCTGTGCTCCTCAGAGTCCCAGCAGGAGGCCAGTCCCTGTGCTCCTCAGAGGCAATATGATCCTTGCTCACTTTATTCTGTGCCTCTGTCACATCTTTATATCAGTCCTCACTCAGGCATAAGTATCTAAAAGATCAAATGTTTTTTAGATAAGAACAGATAATGACAGTACGTTTTGGTCTGATTTGTTCACAAAAAGTGTCACTTAAACACAACTCAGTCTGGGACAAACACAAAGTATTCATGCGACAAAAAAAAAAAAGAAATGTAAATGTACCAGAATTAGCCACAAAGCTATTCTTCATCCATTGTCACTAGACTGATTTAAAATGTCAACCCAAAAACAAACACATACAAACACAATAATAAAATAACGATGTACATTTACCATTTATACAAACAGTTAACGTCCGTGTTGAAGTCTGTTTTTTCAGATTCAGGGTTTTGAACAGATCGTATGAGGCCAGCTCTCTGATGTTTGGGGCTGTGTTGCTCTTCTCATAAATCAATCATTCAAATGCATCTAATTGCGTTGCATTCTCAACTTTCACATAAAAACATGATCTTGTTTTTATTTTGTATTCTTTATGATTTTTTGTTTCCAATCCATCTGTTTGTGAATCCAGCAGCTCATGAGTTTTAAAAGCCAAACTCTCTCTCTCTCTCCTCAGTTCTGTCCAACCAAAGCAGAAGCTCGTCGCAGCGCGGCCAAAATCGCTCTGATGAACTCCGTCTTCAACGAACACCCGTCTCGCCGCATCACAGACGAGTTCATAGAGAAGAGCGTTGGTGACGCGCTCGCTCCGTTCAACGTACGTTCGCCGACTCCGTGGATCTATAACAAACTTGTGCTGAGGTTTATCAAGGTTAAAGTCATAACATTTTACTATGATTGGATCACAGGGGAACAGAGAGGAGGCGGACAACCCCAACACAGGCATCGGGGCCTTTCGCTTCATGCTGGAGTCCAACAAAGGAAAGTCAATGCTGGAGTTTCAGGTAAAGCCGGAACTAAACCCACATCTATTTTATCCATATAGCACGTATTCTTATAGCACTTTTCATGACAAAAAGTTCAGCCACACTTTTGTTTATCCCTGACTAATTAACAGCAAATCAAGTGCTAATTTGTGTATAATTTATGGTTGTTAGTTCTCATGGTACACACTGGGGTTGTCTTGCACTGTTTTTCCAATGTGGTTTTACTGCAAATGGCAAATAAATTCTTGTATTCTTGTTAATTGGTATTTATACATTTATTAAGCACTTATTCAGTCCTTCTATGGCTTTATTAACATCCAGCTAACTACTAACTAATTACTAGCTGACACTTTCCCATGTGGCTTAGCGGTTAGGGCTACGCTTAGGGTACACTATTCATTACTTAATTATCTGTTAATTAAGTTAGGGCTAATCTAAAGTATTACCAGAAGTTCCCAGAGTGATGTGCAGGAGTAGGCAATAAGATAAACAGCAGTCAACACAAAAAGACACCCCAACTGACTTCACTGGTTTAAAACAATAAAACCAGTCGTATCAGAAAAGCAAAGCAGAAAACCAAAATATCAATGAAGTAGACTCAATAAAAAACAGAGACGACCACACAACTCACGCCGGGTTAAAAGCCAGAGAATACAAGTGGGTTTTGTTTTGAGACGGCCGGTGTAATGACATTAGACGTGACACAGCCGCTGTAGTATCATGTGAGCTGTTTTATCTGTGGATTGAAGAAGGGAATGAGGCCGTGAGTTTTCCAGCGTGAATAATTTCTTGGAGTTTTGTTTGTTTCAGGAGCTGATGACAGTGTTCCAGCTGCTGCACTGGAACGGGAGCCTGAAAGCCATGAGAGAAAGACAGTGTTCACGCCAGGTACTGCACTTTGCCCAATTAGGTTGTAGCAGCATTCCACTTGTTTGGGTTTTTTAAGTTTGAGTGTGATGGCTCTTTTCATTTGAGTTCAATCCTGGCATGCTATGATCTTTCTTCATATTTGTACTTTCATAATCATACTTTTTTGTGGTTAGAGAGACACTGTTTGGATGGTCCATCATTTGTCTCATTAAAAAACATTGCTTTGTCAGGTGTACAAACCTATCCATTCGTCATTCCCTTAACTCCAGGGGGATTTATTGCAACAAAAATCATGTATTCATTGGATATTACCATGTTTTGTGCTATATCCATACAAAACAATAGCAGTATGAGGCAGGAAGTAGGAATCTATTGGTCATTAATACATCATTATCGGTTTTGACAGGGAAAAATGTATAGTATGGCTTTTAAGAAACGCAATAGTTTCAATGTTTACTATGTATGTCGTTAGTTACATAGATAATTACAAGAGCCTACAAAAAAATAAATAAATAATAATCTTGCAATATATATACGCAGTTTTAAAAGACTGAATTTTTTTGTGGTTCGTTTTTCTTGAATTGCAAAATCCATTAATCCCACGACACCGAACCAGTCATGGGGCACTCTCAAAGATCCCAATCGTTTGATGTGCAAAAAGTAAAACCACTGGAGTCACATTTGGACTTGCGCTTTAATTTCAAGACAATTGGATCAGGAAGTCATCAGTAGAGGCTGCGTCCGTGTTTGGTTTAATCAAGGCCTTGACAAGAAACATGCAGCTGGACGGTAAGCAGTTGTGTTTGGAGAGTGAAAGAACAAGAGTTTGTTTTATAGTTGTATGATATATACACAGTGGCTGGCAAAAGTACTAATACAGCTGTAATTATACTGGGAGTAGACTAAACACAGGTGGGTTCTTTATGGGAACCTTCAACAGTCATCAGGAAATAATCAAATTCAAATGTAAATCACTCAGAGAATAACCAAATCCTGCATAATTTTGCGTTCACTTTGCTTTACTTTATAGTAGTCTTTCAGAGAATCCAAAATAGCATATCTATGTCACTGTAAGACTATGTCACTATGTAATGTCTAAAAGCTCAAGTTGTTTTAGTACTTAATTAGCACTCAACATGGCGCCGAGACATGGCAAGAGCTCTGGTGTGAATTATCTGCTCTGTTCGTTGGCCACTAGGATATTCTTGCACAGTTATTCTGAATGAATTAATGTTTTTATTTGGACATTTGAGATGAGAAAAATTTGGTTTTACAGCAAATGGCAAATAAACTGCATCTGAATCTTTTGCCAACCACTGTATGTACCTACAACACTCCTGACAACACCTACTGCATTCACTAGGTGCTTGAGTCTGACTTGGATCTGTCGCTTTTGCAGGAAGTGCTGGCTCATTACTCCCATCGCGCCCTGGACGATGACATGCGCACTCAGATGGCCGCGGACTGGGTGAACCGCGAGCAGAGCGTGGCAGGGACCATCGGCCAAGAGCTGGCCTCCACGGAGCGCGAGCTGGAGGAGGCGCGGCTGGCGGGTCGAGAGCTGAGATTCCACAAAGAGAAAAAGGACATCCTGATGCTCGCGGTGGGGCAGCTCAACGCCGCCAACGCCGCCACTCTGCCCTCGCACTAAACGCTCACGACGAAAGACATGCCTTCACTTCCTCAGATTCCTGGGCGCTAGGAAGAAGCTTCTTACAGTAGCACTCACAATAATGTTAGACTGGCCAAAAATGTATTCGACTTGGTCATTTTTATTAAGGCAAAAACGCACTTCCTGGTCCTTCTTGTCATTCCTACTTGTTATTGATCTTTTTAAATAAGTGTCACATAAAAGGTCTTACATTTCAACAAACTTGGAGCTGATTATGAAGGATAAGGAAGAAGATTTATAAATTTGGATAATAACTTTCCTTTGTGAGCAAAAAAGCAGTGGCTCGTGTCTCCAGTGACTTTCCGGGATACAAAATATATACATTTTTGGACATTATGATGTCATTGGTAGCTACTACAACCAGGTAATCTTGCCTTTATCACAATATGCACAATGTCTGTTCAAGCAATTATCCATTTGTGCCTATTGACTAAAAGGCAGCTTTCTCTAAAACTACCTGTAAACATCTTTTTATATATGAAAGTTTCTACACATTTGACATATAGTCCAACACAAACTTTCTTTAGTTGGGAATGTATGGACCTTTGTTTCATCTATGAAGCCAAACCTGCTTATATAGTGTCCAGAGAGTTTTCTCATTGGAAGCAAAAAGATGTTGCAGTCTCAAAATGTGATGGAAGAATTGGTACGATCGGCCGCTCAGGTTTCTGGTTGAAAGAACGTGTGAAGGAGTCTGTAAACTGAACTGACCTTTACGACAACAGCCGAATGTAGAGATTCTGTAATGTTGTACAATGGACCTACAAAAGTCAGTGCTTAAGAAAATGTGTTCATTATTTCCATAAGTATAACACATAACCAGCAACTCCTTCTTGTGAGACTCGTGCAGTGTTTTTATTTGAATATAAAAGATAAGGAATAAGATTTATTACCACTAATAGTCTCATTACAGTAAAGTGTAACGGTGCTATACATGCCTTTTGTGACCTACAAAAGGCTGTGAGTTTACATTTTCTTTTATTTTTCTTGTCCGCTTTTTTACTTTAAGTCAAACCAAAATATTATTGTGTGTTGAGGTTGTCACAGTATTACCGTGTTCTATGCCATAGGAATTCTTTTTTTGAAGGATTTATAAAATGTAAATTCTCAGCCAAAAGATTTCGGCTGCAACTCATAATAACACTGCCTTGAGTTTTATCACTTTTATATTTGTCCACTTCTTTATTTCCAAGTTACAAGCTCCTTTTTGTTGGTCTTGGTTTTTATATGTTTTGTGGCCACTAAATTGGACTTCTTTCTACTATGTTTTACTATCCACATTTAATTTTACTATGCATGTTTTATTTTATGAAATGTTACTTTGTATATGTTTTTAAGCCATAATAATTTGTATTTTATACAAACAATTTGTATCGTTTATTGTTTGATAGAAATATAAAATGCAATAAAACAAATGAGATGTCCAATCTAATATTTTATCTAATATTTTAATATAATTAAACTGTCTTTGTCCCACAGAGGGGACATTTCTGTGTTGCAGTCATAGTTGCAGTATACATTACATCACAGGAACCAGATTGTGTTTTTTCAACGTAAATAAAGTAAATATATAATATTATTTTGAAATTTACGTCTGAATTTTTACTTCCGGTGCTGACCGGAAGAGGCGGGTTTTGTGTTTCGCTGCTCCTCCGTTCATTCAACATGGCGGCGGGACCAATTTCCGAAAGAAATCAAGGTAATAATGTTAATGTAACGCATAGAAACGTATTTATGTGCACAGAAATGTCGTGTCTACAGTTCGTTGTTTTCATGAAGGTAAAGAGTGGATCGACCCAAGTTTTGCGACAGTCGCCGGGTTTTATCACATGGGTGAAAGTGTGGAGGCTTGTGATGCTAGCTTCTTTAAATCTTTGTGCTCGTTACGCTAATAAAGTACATACACGTGTTCCCTTATTGCAAACCTTACTGGTGATGTTAATAATCTCAATAAACAGACGTTTTGGAAATAATTGCTAGGCCTTCGGTTTTCTTATATCATCTTAGCATAGCTAACGCTAGGTGGTAATGAATGAACGATTTAGACGAGCCGATGACTTATTATTAGCCTTAATAATACTAACTCATGTCGTATAGCTGATGCTTACAAATGCACTCCTACATGTACCGAATGATCCTGTGTTGTTCTGTGTGCAGATGCCACTGTGTACGTCGGTGGTTTGGATGAAAAAGTGTCTGAACCTTTACTGTGGGAGCTTTTTCTTCAAGCTGGTCCAGTGGTCAACACACACATGCCTAAAGACAGAGTCACGGGCCAGCACCAAGGTTTGCAATCATTATGTCTTATATCTGTGGCTACTATGATTCCATACTGATGATGTTATCTTTCTGCAGGTTATGGGTTTGTAGAGTTTCTAAGTGAAGAAGATGCAGATTATGCAATAAAAATTATGAACATGATAAAACTTTATGGAAAACCTATAAGAGTCAACAAAGCCTCAGCACACAATAAAAACTTGGATGTTGGAGCAAACATCTTCATTGGTAACCTGGATCCAGAGATTGATGAGAAACTGCTCTATGACACATTCAGTGCTTTTGGTGTGATCCTTCAAACTCCAAAAATCATGCGAGATCCAGACACAGGGAACTCCAAGGGCTATGCCTTCATCAACTTTGCCAGCTTTGATGCTTCAGATGCAGCTATTGAGGCTATGAATGGCCAGTATCTCTGTAACCGACCGATCACAGTGTCCTACGCCTTTAAGAAAGATTCAAAAGGGGAACGCCATGGGTCAGCGGCAGAAAGGCTCTTGGCTGCTCAGAACCCTCTGTCCCAGGCAGACCGACCTCACCAGCTCTTTGCAGATGCTCCACCACCACCATCGGTCCCAACTCCAGTCTTGACTGCTCTTGGTGCTGGGATGGGAATGCCCGGTAAGATAATAGTTTGCATATACATTAGCAGCAGGCATCTACCAGTCTCATTTTGAATTCAGTTAATTACTATTGACCTGGATTTAAATGGTATCTTTTTGCACAGGTATGCCTCCTTCCTTCCCCCCTGTTCCTCCTCCAGGGTCCATGCCTCCCGCCATGCCCTCCATGGGAATGCCAAATGCAGCAGGACAGGGGGGTGGCGTCCCGCAGCATTATCCTCCTACTGGCATGCATCCAGGTAGAACCTTCTTAATATTATCTGTCATGAGTTCACTTCCTTTCGGTTGTAGTGAGCCTGTATACACTTAACATTTGTCATCTATTCAAACAAGTTAATCAAGTCAAATTTAATTATCTGTAATATTTTGTCAGTAAGTTTTTGTGTTTGCCAGAGGTAACATCTGATGCGATCTGTCAATTGTTCTTGGATGTGGCCAGTCTGAGGAAACATTTCTTGTATAGCTTTTTGCTTAAATGAATATATAGATTATTGTATGTACTAATGAAAAAAGGTCTCCGTTACTCGCGATGTAAAAAACTCAAATAACTTTTTATTTTAGGAATGGCTCAGATGGGAATGCATCCGGGTCCTCCTGGTATGGTACCTCCACCTCCAGCTCCCCCTGGATCGGGCCAGTCCAGAAATCCCCATTCGGGGATGCCCCCTCCTCCGATGGGCGTGCCATCCAGAGCGTATGGACCCCCCATGGGTAAGAAATATACAGTAATGTAGTTATGTATATATGAGAATTAAACTGAATGTTTTTATTTTTTTGTCACAATGAGCAATTTTGTATTGAATTACAAACAAGCAGTTTTGAAATATGTTATCAGACGGTTATATAAAAATATAAACATACAAAATATTTAGACATTCCAAGAAGCTATTGATGTGATAAAATTATCAATATCCCATAGTTCTGCGGTATCCTCAGCTTTTGGTTTCAATTATATTCTGATTTCCTTCAGTGCCAACAATGAGAGGGCCGCCACCTCCGATGCCGCCTCCTGTGTACACCACTGGCCCACATCGTCCTCCGTTCGGCTTCCAGAGAGGGCCACCCATGCCGCCCAGACCGCCCACTGGCCCCCCCATGAGGGCCCCAATGCCCCCGTAATCCTTCCTAATGACCAATCACGTTTCCTTGTTTTTTTATCAACACAGAAACCCTTAACGCTTCTGTTTTGTACTCATGAATAATTTAACTGTTTCTGTTCTCTGATGATGGATGTGTGCAGAATAAAACTTTTAGTAAAAAATTTGCAAAATGTTATCAAGAAAGGAATCAGGAGAACGTATCATAACAAATGTTCACTATATTAATGAATGCATCTGGTTATAAATAGTTAGTTCCAATATTATGCGTTTATCTTGGACGCACCTTTTTAAATTCTTACCATTGGCAGTGAACTAAACCTTTGGGTCAAATTGTCCCATAATAAGGAAAGAAAGTAGATAGCAAATACAAGTACACAAAACAAGTGTACTGACTAACTGCCCCCTGATGGACAACTTTCCGATCAGATCCAGGTAATTAAGCCAGTGTAAAATGCGCTTCAGGCTGTTCTAGCAAAATAATAAAAACTCTAAGACTCAAAGCCTAATAGAGATTGATCAAACACTAATTCAAAGTTGGAATGCTCCATTTATAATTAATCAGCCCAGGCATTGTAAGGGTTGATGGATTGTTGGCCACCATTCTCATTAACCTATGAAATAATCCATAACTGCTGGGAAACAAAATTCCCACATCTTTTATAACGTGGGGTGTAGGACAAATTTATGCCTGAAATATTGACGCTGCATCGCTTATCTTCAAGGTTCGGTCTTTCGTGGCTCTTCGCACATCATCATCAGCATCTAACATATGGGTGGAGTGTGGGGGTGTGCTCCCAGGGATGAAAAAACAAAGCAAACCGTGATTTACAACAGGATAGAAGACGTAGCAGCACAAAGAAAGAGAAAAACTGACTCACAAATGCTTTTTATTCATGTCCTTTTAATGATATTTAGGCAGAGAGATTTACCATTTGCTGGTGTATGAAAACTGACATGTGAAGCGTCTTTGAGTGTCCAAAAAAGCGCCATATAAAACCAATGCATTATTATTATTATTATTTTAGTCACTGAACTCTGGTGTTTGAACCAGGTACATGTGATTCTCTTTCATTTGATATGTACTTAATAATGGGCCACACTCAGCCCACATTACACATTAAGAGATCCCTTTTTTGATAGATTGTTAAATAGGCTACACCAGTAAAAGTACCATGTAAGAAACTATTTAGCCATAAAACATAAAAGATTTTATAATTTTGCAGACCTGTAAGAAAGAGCCTTTTGAGTCCCTACTTGGCGTTTTGGGTAGAAATGATAGAATGAGTCAGGTTGGTTCTTTCTTAACTTTTCTCTCTGAAAAAGCTGATCTGATGTTGTGACAGGTTGTTTCATTTGTTTTGGTTTGAAAGTTAGGTATTACAGCTTTAAGCACACAAAAAAAAAGTTCCAAATGAGGAGTACCCCAGGGGGAGGTCGAAACGTGAAACAAGACGGCTCTATTTTTAGTAATTGAGTAAGATCTTCCATTAAACATCTAATCTATTCCAGCTCCAGTCTTGCTTGTCTTTGATCCTCTTCTTCAGACAGTGTTTGCCAGGCCACATACATGTCACAGAGTCTGGCCCAGTTATACAACAAAACGCACTGTCTCCTAATAATGGGTGACGTCACGACTCCCGCCTCACGTGCCTCCTCGAGGACACTGATGGAGGCTGGAGCCAGTGGTCGGCATAGCAACAGGAGTCAGGTGTTGCTGCACGTGTGAGAGCAATATTTCACCAGAAAGACATTTGCTTTAAAAAAAACGCAGATGGAATTAAATTAAGAAACAATAAAGGTGTTTTTCTGCGCATGCGTAACAACCTCCTCAATCACCCCCCCATTCGCCGCATATTGCTTTTAATCTCACGCAAACCGGTTATTAGCCTAATTGAATAAACACGGCGTGCGCGTGTGTGTGAGAAAGAGCGGATAAAGTCGGTCTCTCCATTCACTCCCAGTTTATGCCGAGGCGCGCTGCTGTGTCGTGCGTGGGGGAGGGGGCCCAGGCCGTGCAAGTGCATGACTGAGTGTGTGTGGATGGCGTGGGCTTCTCTCTCCTTCCTCCTAACCGCGCAGCATCATCATCACCAGCAGCACTCGGCTCACGGCAGCAGCACAGCCCATCCTCCTCCCTGTCCTCTCCATATCATTTCCAGGGGGACACGTCGCGCAAACCGAGGTAAGATTCAATGTTTTTCTCTGTTATTTTCTTTTCCTCTATAACTACTGCGATTATTGTGTGAATGAAGATGTCAAAAAGGAGGAAAAAGGCGATGGGCGTGATTCTTCTTTCTCACAGCAATTAAGACAGATTTGGACACCATGTAATCCAATACAAATCGTAAGAGGCTGTTGGCACTTAGGGAGATTGCGCTGAGTGATATCATAGCAGACATTTGTCTAATAATCGCCGCGGATTTGTATTTGAAATCCGGGATTAGGTTGTTTTAGACGGGGTAAATTGGCCTGCTGGGCCGTATAGCCACTTAAAATTGTCCATAAGCCTTTTTTTTGCTGCCACCAAAGACAGTCATGTTTTAAGTGCTTTATTCTAATGATCAGGAAATGGCTCACTCTGTTTGTGCAAGTATATAGCAGGGATGTGGATGCTTGTTTGACGACGTTATCTTCAGGTGTTAAGATTTCTCATCGCGATACTTGGATAGGAATCTCCCTGTGCTTTTTATAGTAAGGCCTTGATGCGATCTGTTCATTCTTGGCTTCGGAACAAAAGCCAGAGAGGTAAGGTGATGCTGGATTGATTTTTTTTCCATATACGCCTGGAAAAAGGACAGGGAAAGAGAGAGAAATAAGCAACACAAATGAGACGATATTGCCCTGCTCAAAAAATACAGAGCTTTCTCCTCTCCATCCCCCTCTGCGCTCCCCCCTCCGTGCGCATCCAGTGGCCTGCTCTGACAGCGCTGCGTGATGCTGAGGCTGCTATCCTCTCGTCAACTTGACAACAGGGACCCAGGGAAAAAACAGTCTCCACCATGATTTCATATAGCTCCATGTAGCCGTCGGTCTGCAGCTAAACATGTTCATAATATCAGGGGAGATTTAAGGGAAAGATTGCAGTACATTATTTCCATACTTTCACTTTTAGACCAGAACGAATGGATGTATTTGTTTAGTTTCTGCATTTCTTTGGACAGTGTGTATCAAAGAACAGTATCAGTAACTGTAAATACCCCAGATTGTGGCTTTGTAACTAATTCCCATGCGTTCAAACCATACACAGTCACAGGAGAACATATACAGTAAACGCCACACAGAAAGGCCCTGGTACAAAATAAATTATCATTATTTATTTTTAGACAGAGCTTTCCAATGGTCTGTGATTATACTGGAACAGGCGGATTGTCGTTGTAAACCATTCATTTTCACACCACCATTTCCAATATTTGGCCTCTTGAATAAGTAGTAAGTAGTAGTAATCTTTATTTATATACCGCCTTTTCACTGCAGATCAGAGTCTCAAAGCGGTTTACAATTGTTAATTATGGGCATTTATCTCTCACTCCACACAGAGATGGGAGCGGGGTCGCCGGTACAGGAGGCGCATGCTAGAACTATTGGACATATTTTTAGTGGTAGGGGAAACCGGAGTACCCGGAGGAAACCTACGCAGACACGGGGAGAACATGCAAACTCCACTCAGAAAGGCCCTGGTCCGACCGGGATTCGAACCCAGGACCTTCTTGCTGAGAGGCAAGAGTGCTATCCACTCAGCCACCGTGCCGCCCGAATAACACCAAAGTTGCCCAAATAGAGAAGCGGGTCTGAAGCTACAATAATCTGAACTGAAAGCTGCCAAAACAAATCGTGAACGATAAACAAAACACACATGACGATGATGATCACGCTTGAAATATCGGGTACATACACTGCAGTTTGAGAATCACTGTGAAAGACTCCCCGATATCATTTTCTACAGACCTATATCTTTTCACACATCCAAACAAATCAGTAGTAGGACCTTCTCAGCAAGAATGTCCTGGGTTTGAATCTGTGTCGGAACAGGGCCTTTCTGAGTGGAGTTTGCATGTTCTCCCTGCATGTGCCCAGGTTTCCTCCAGGTGCTCCGGTTTCCCCCACCACTAAAAACATGCACAATGAATAACAGTATGAATTTTAGTGAATGGTGGTGTGGGTTGGAGGCTTTGATGCAACAGTGTGTTTGGTGTCTCGCTTCTGTCATCACCGTGTGTGCAGAGAGAATGGAAAAATATCTGATCTCTGAACATTGGGCAACCTTGGTCGGTAAAATTGCGCTATATACAGAAAATTACTTACTAGATGGGAGTAGGCTGATCTAAAAATGGTTTTCTGTAAATTCAATAGGTCCCATCATTTGGTTGCATTCAAAATACACTGGACATGTTTTATTTAACTCATGCTAATGCTAATGCTATTGACACTGTGACCACCGCACCTGAATCAGAAATACATACATCGCCCCTGAGACTTGTGACCTTTTCAGTCGGTGCAAGCGTCAGTGGAAACCATAAACAGCCCGGCCTATAACAGACAAAACCAAATACCCTGCTGCTTTTTCGTTTTTTTTTTCCGCGCATGTTTTAAATTATACTCTTACATTATATTACCCTCCCACGCAGGTCCAGTGAGGCGTGTGCAGATTTGAGTTGTACATGTTATTTTTTTCCCATCTCCTCTCTCGATCGTCTCCTCTGCCGAACGCTGGAGTGGCACTTGATGCATGTGTTTGTGTTTCGGGAGTCTTGCAAAGTGATTACAACCCACTCAGAGCTCAGACTGCGGAGATGATGAGGTTAAAGCACTGGTCTTTAGCCTCTTCTTACCAGTCCCAAGGGTGACGCTCAGATCTACGCCAATGGCCTCCACCACAAGCTATAGTCGCTGTTTGGACCATTATGCATGTGTAATAGGAGAGAAATAGCCAAAGCATTTATATGGACCCTGCATATTGTCTTGTGTTGGCCTATTTCTAATCCAATGGTTAAAGGAGAACTCTGCAACTTTCCCTGCGGG